AGACCTACGAGAAGTAAAGATATTGAATTAGTAATTTAGAATCTCACAAACAGTATTCCTGGCCCAGATGGCTTCACTGATGAATTCTATCAAATGCTTAAAGAAGAAATAATATCAATCTTTCATAAAATCTTTCAGAAGACAAAGAAGAGAATATTTCCCAACTTATCTTGAGGCCAGTGTTATTACCCTGATACCATAGCCAGACAAAGACATCACAAGAAAAGAAAAATACAGACCCATCCCTCATTAATAAAGATGCAAAAATCCTTAACAAAATGCCAAATTGAGTTCAACATTTAAAAAAAATACATATACCATGACAAAGTTAGATTTCAGGAATGCAAGGTAAGTTTAACAGCTGAAATTCAACTAATGTAATATACCATATAAATGGGATAAAGGGTTAAACCCACATAACCTCAGTACAGTAAGAAGAGCCAACAAAGGAGACTGAGTGGGATTAAAAAACAAGACAAAAAAAAAATCAAGGGAGAATGTATTTCAGGAAAGAGAGTGGTCAACTGGTTGTGTATTCCTAAGTCCAATAAAAAGAGAAATGAGAACTAACCATTGGATTAGACCATGTGGAGGATGCCGACAACTTTAGGAAGGGTTTCAGGAAACTGGTATAACTGAAGATATGATTGGAATGAGAAGTGGAGGAAGGAATACAGATAATTTTTTCAAATAGTCTTGTTTTAAAGGGCAGCAGAGAAATGGGGTGGTAGATGGAGAGGAATGAGAAGCCTCAGGGAAGCTGTCTTTGTGTTTTAAGGTGGGAGATATTATCTATATATAGCGTGAGGACTGACACAGTTGAAAGGGGGAAACCGACCATGCAGAAGAGAAAGCAGATGCCTGCAGGAGCAAGGTCCTTGAGAAGGCAGGAGGAGATGAGATGCAGTTCGGGCGATGAAGTCGCACATCAAGAACTCTGAAGTGTCTGAGATTTTAACCTACTTGTATGCTAACAGGTTAGCCTGTCACAATTTCCTGGAGGCCGGCCGAAAACATGAGACTCTTGGGTCAGAGACAAAGGACTTCATTCCTCACAGCAACAGCAGTAGCCGGAGTGTTAGAATTTTCTTGCATCAGTTCCCTGAACCTCAGTTCCAATAGAGCAACGTGAACAGGGCCAGGTGACACCTGCACAGGCAGTGGGTTGCATTACAAGTGAGGAAATCCGAGCTCAGTGAACCGGAGTCTTTTATCTGGGCAGTAAACATGCCTGTCCTTTGCTCCAGAGGGAGACATTACCTTTATGACAGTGGACAGTCATAAGCATCCCTGATGTTTGTTCCAAAGGGACACACTATCTCCATCTCCAAAGGTGTTCACTCTACAAATGTCCTTGATAAGGGAGCCTGAAACAAAAGAGATGTGAGACACATGGAGAATTGTCTCAACAGAAAGTTTAGCCTCAGTTAAGAACATAGACACTTCATCCATTCTGAGGTGTAGAGATTGGAGGAGTAGAAAAGATAAGATTATTGGAAAAGATGCTGTTAGCTCTCTTTTGTTTAATTTTATTTTATTCCCAGCACATCAGTAGGTGAGAGTTTCAGGTAAGAGTGAGGACTGGACATCAAGAGTCTGGAAGAGTGGGAGAGGGTAGACTATGGAGATGAGTTAGTGGGCACTGCTGAGGGCCCTCCTATAATTTATGATCCTAAGTTTAAAGAGCACAGTGATGACTTTTAACCGGGTGTGTTCCACTGCTTGGGTGTAGGGACAAAGCAGGCAGAGGGTTGGCTTTAACCAGGATGGGAGTTTTTCCAGGCAAGTATGGTGGAGAAGGAAAGTGACAGAGGTGTTGTGGACATACACAAAGGAGTGATGCCGGTGGTGGGCCAGGGAATCTAGGCTGGATGAAGCAGAGAGTAAGGAGGGGAAGGACAGTGAAAAGTGGATGAGGCCAAAGGATCAGAGTCCCTGGTGGGGGTGAAGAACGGTCGGAGTCGGGGTATTAGAGAAAGTGAACTAGACAGGAGGCAGTAGTCAAATAACAGTGCTTCAAATCAAGAGCCAGAAGGTATATGAGCGTGGGCCTGGGTGGCTGAGGTGGGATGGAGGAAAAGATCACTGGAGGAGAGGAGTTCGGGGAACCCAGTGGCCAGAGTGCCAGATGGATCCTTGATGAGCTTGTCGAAGCCGCCCAGAGTAACTGGAGTCACGTGCAGAGGAAGACAGGCAGGCGCTAAACTTCAATGAATGAGGGGAAGTAACTGGAGAGTTACTGAGGACTCCAACAGAGAGGGGTGGCGGGTGTGTGGGCTGGTGGCGGACGATTCCTTCATTCCAGAAGTATTTATTCATATATGACCAACTAGGCATGTGGGAGAGATGGATGATCATTGCTGTCCTCAAGAAGTGTATGAGCTAACTTGAAAATCCATACACCTAAGAAGCTAAAGAGCAGGGCGAACTTGGCAGTACAGGTCGCAGAAGGGTCAGGAGACCTGAGGTCTCCTTCCAGCCCTGCCAATAATCAGCTGTGACCTTGGGTCAATCACTTAACCTCCCCAGGCCTCAGGTTCCACGTTTGCATGTGGATGGGGTGATTCCCAAGCTACCCTAGGGCCCAATATTCCCTAATTCTGTGATATGAAATAATACGTCTAATGCAGGGAAGTTAGGAAGAGTAAGCATGATTATTTAGATGTTAGAGAAAGGAAATTGAAGCATGAGGCACAGCATAATTTGTCCAGCATCAGACTGTAAGCCAGGTCCATTGCTGCTTGTGTTAGTCCATATGGAGGGCAGAGCAGATGCCCCTGTCTGTGTTTGTTTCCCTCCACTCACAGAAAGTCGTGTTTGCACTGTGTCTCTCTCTGGTTCTGATCAGGTCATGATCACTTATGTCAAAGAACAAAGGAAACAATACCTTCAGAACCCATCGCTGGAACATCTTCGTTCAGCACAGCCCTGAAAGAATACATTTTTATAGGAGGCAAAGAGCTGTGTTGCCCTCTAGGAAATGTATGTCGCATTAGAGTAATTAGGCTGACAAGCATTTCCCTGAGGGCGGACGTAATGATTGGGTCCAATAACCCTTGACAGCAGCGTAATGTTGGGGTGAGATTAGAAGTCAAGGTTTAGAAGGATACAGTGAGGTAGAGGGGCTATAAACAGCTTTTCTTCTACAACAAATTCTTCCTTTATAACCATCATATTAATCCTATATTTTTTAATATATGCAAGCGCAGTCACTTATACAGTCAAAGGTGCTCATTGAGACCAACTCTATGCTAGGCCCCTTTGTAAGGGCCAGAAATGGCACAGAGAGCAAGATGGCTAAGGACCCTCCCTTCTCTCTCTTTGCCGGTGTCTACTGAGTAGGGAGGTGGACACAAGTCAGAAAATGAATAGGAAATTTTTCAGAGCATGATCAATTCTAGGAAGGCTATAGAGCAGGTTGACAGTCTATCCCTTGCCATGTTCTGGTTCCCTCGACTTAGAACGTAAGTACCCCAAGAGCTAGGACTTTGTAGTATTCATCACCGCACCCTCCCGCCTTGGTTAGTGAATTTTAACTATGGTCCTCAGGAAAGTAAGGCCTAAAAAGTGAGTCTTCATCCATGCTGTGATGGAGGAGACAGAGCAACGTTCCAAGCAAGCAGCAAGTTCAGTGTGTTTAAGAAACATAAAAAAGGCTATTGTGGCCCAGAGGGTTGCAAGGATGAGAAAGTGTCACATAAGGTGAGGTTGAAGCCAGAGTCAGGGGCTAGAATAATCTGGGCCTTGGAAGCCAAATGAGAGGTTAGAAGTTTGAATTTTCCTTTAATTGCTGTGGTACGCCACTGGAGGGTTTGCATGAGAGATAGTCTATGACCTTATTTTTATTTTTAAAGGTCGACTCTGGCAGTTGTGCAGGGAGGAGGCAGAGGGGAGTGTGAGAAGCAAGAGATCTGTGATAAGGTATGAGGTGATGGCGGCCCGGTACAGGGGAGGAAAGACGGGGAACTGGTTGAATTTGAGATCTTGTCTGAAGCCAGAACAACTAGACAAGCTGCTCAGTTGAGTGTTGGTGTTTTAAGGGGGAAAAAAAAAAAAGAGGAGTCCAGAAAGACTCAAGTGTTTTGGCTCAAATAACTTGGTACTGGAGGCACCACTAACTGATTGGGAAGCTGGGGGAAGATTGGAGTTCTTCCAGGAAAAAACAAGGATTCCATTTTGGCCGTAGGACACTTCCAGTGTCCACTGGGCTTCCAAGTGGATTTGAAAATTAATGGTTGGTACGGCAAGATGTGGCGCTGAAGATCTTCTTTTGTGAGTCACTGGCATTTAGATGCTCTGTGGAGCCACCAGCCTGAGTGAGATCACCAAGGAAGAGCATGTGGACATGAGAGCTGGGGACCAAGCCGCGACCATCTGTCAGGGGACTCCAGTTTGGGCCTCCGAATAGTAGGGTATTTTACATAGAATCGCATTACTGACCGGTTCCATCAGTCAGTTTTAAAACCCCGTTTTGTCTTCCTCCCTCTCAGCAAGCAGTGAGAGCCCATCGTGGGGGGAAGGCATCTTGGTGAGAAACTTTAAGCACACAGCAGCCCCTGGGACCCGCCCATCGGCCATCAGCTACACAGGAGAGGCTGGGACCCACCATGCCCTCTCTCACTCTGCAGAATTCCCCAGTGCCCTCCTGTCCTCTGTTTTCCTGTGTCTGTCTTTCCATTCTCTCTCTTTGGTTCCAGCTAGGTCATGCTTGCTTACCTCCACTTTCAGCTACACTGTGTCTTCTTCGAGGCCAGGATATTCGCTTACTTATCTTTCTATCCCTTATCATGTTCTGCATTTCCTGGTTTAGAACAGTGAAGAACCACAAGAGCCAGGGCCTTGTCTGTTAGGTTCACCCCTGTGCTCTTGGAGCCCGGAACAGTGTTTGTGAATAAACATGCACAGAACAGATGAGTACAGTCGCCATCAACATGATGATGTTCTAGATAGGTGATCAGGTGCCCTGCCTCAGAGGAAGCTTTCTCTCTTTTGCTCGATAGATGTCACCTCCACTTGAGCCGTCCCACTGCACATGCTGAGCCCGCAGTATAAAGAGGAACTTCAAGTCTCACAACCATTAGGGACTCTTTCCAAGAGTTTGCGGTGCTGAGGAAGGTGAGAACAGGGCAGGTGTTTGTGGTCCATGGGATGCATATATGCACTTGGGAGCTGGGGTAAATCATCTGCAAAGATGGCCAACAACAATGTCTTTCATCTCTATACGTACATGGTGCTCCTCCCAACAGGAGATGCAGTTTGTTCCTCTTCCCCTTGAACCCGGACGGCCTTGAGACTTGCTCAATAGAATGCACTCCAAGTAATGTCTTATGAGTTTGGAGCCTGGGCCCTAAGAGGCCTTGCCGCTGCCTGGTTTTACCGTCCTGGGATCTGGACACCCTGTTTGAGAAGCTTGGAGTTCTCAATGATGTGAAACCACATGGAGAGTGAGAAGTCCAACCATCCCAGCCACTGCAGCCAAGGTATGAAACACGTGAGTAAAGCTGTCTGGGATTCTCCAGCCAGCCAAGCTGTCGCAGCCAACCAAGCATGGCAGAGACAAACCATCCCTGAGGAGCCGCACCTGAATTACACAATCACGAGAAATAAGAAATGGTGTTGTTTTAAGCCACTGCCCTTGGAGGTTACTTGGTATTTAGCAACAGGTAACTAAAATATGATCTGTTTCAGGAACTGTTTTACAACAGAACTTCTAGAAACACATTGCATTTAAAAGAAGAGCTGCAATCTCTAGCAATTATCTCTTGTCTCAGCACTTTCCCTTCTAGGAATCTATCCCAAAGATATCCTTGGCCAAAATACAAGAAGATATATTGGCTATTCACTGCAGCACTATTTGTAGTAGCAACAAACTTCCAACAACTCAAGTGTCTATCAGTAAAGGACTGGTTGAATAAGCTGTGTAGCATCCAGGTGGTGGAGTACTATGCAGCCATGAAAAGGGATTATGGACACCTCTGTGAACTGCTGTGGTGTGATCACCAGGATATAAGGTTGAATGAAAAAAGCAAGGCAGAGAAAAGTGCTTATGGTATGCTATGCTATTGTCTGTTTAACTTACTTGTTTTTAATTGAAAGGATAAAATATAACATTTCAAAAGAAATTGTTACCTATGGGGGAGGGAGGGAATAGGGTAAATGATGCCACAGGACTATAATCTGCAAACTCTAGATTTTGGGAAACATTATAGAAAAACCAACCCAGTTTCTGTAACAAAGAAACATTTTAAAAAACAAAAGGGATAGAATGGGAACTCAGTGATTAAAAAGAGGGACTTAATTTATTCCTTTGATAATATGTAAGTTTAAAAAGCTAAAGCTCTAAACGTTCTTAGAAACAATGATCAGTACATAGATGTAAATTTTAAAAATATATGCAGTAAAAAAAAGAGGAACTTAAGAGTCTATCAATTGCAATTTATGAACATTTTGTATCCTGCATTGAATTAAAAAACTGAAGTGTATGAGACAATGGGGAAATTTAAACATGGGTTGAATATTTGATGACATTATGGATTTATTATTTATGTAGAATAGTCATAGTGTGCTTATATTCTTAAAAGAATCTTCACATATTTAAGAGACACACTGAAATTTTAATAGATGAAATGCTGTAACACTGGGAGTCACTTCAAAAGTATTGCAAGGATTGGTGAAGGAGGTGAAGTTAGGGATTAAACCAGACTGGCCATCAGTTGATAATTATTGAATCTGGACGATTGGTTCATGAAGGTTCATTATGTTGTCCTCCTTACTTTTGTATATATTTGAGATTTTCCAAAATAAAAACTTAAAATAAAAAAGAAGGGTCTCTGAGACCCGATGTTTTAAGGGCCGGCCCCTGAACCCATTTTCTTCATAATAACACACCTTCAGTCCATCATACCCAAGTCACAGCATCTCTGTCCAGTGGAAGTTACGTGTGTCAGCAGTGGTGGGTATCTAGAACTCTATGTGACTGACACCATCTAAGTGGTTTTCAAGTTACAGTGAGTTCTCGGGAGGTTCAAGTGTTGTTGTTGTTGTTGTTTTTAATAATCTCTTGGGTTATTGTTATCTCTTACATAGAGACAGTATTTAGGAAAAGTTTCAATCCACATGTAAATAGTCCCTTTCTTCTCTTCCAAAAATGTGTCATTCATCTGCTCAATCGTTCTGCACTCTTTGGTCCCGTTGGTGCTATGAGAGGTCCCGGTGTCAGGGAAAGAGGCCTCCCGCCCTGCTGCACACGCCTGTCAGCATGCACGCCCAGATGCTTACAACACCGTGGACCATGGTGGGCGGTAAACAGGTCTAGGAAAGCACAGAGGAGGGACCTGGCTGCTCAGCCTCAAGCAAGAGACTCGGGGAGAAATGTTGGAAGAGGAGGTGTTAGAGCCTGCTAAGATGCTGCTTTGGGGAAAGAATACCAAAGAATCGAGTTTGGCTTGTTTGGGAGGAAAGATGTAATCTGATGCTTTGCACTTTATGAAATTCTTTCACTTTCAAATACCAACGTGTCTCATCTCCTTTCTCCAGCGAAATGAATGCTGTCTCTCAGTGCTTCTCAAAGTGTGGTCCCTGGACCAGCAACATAGCCATCCCTTGGGAACTCCCAGCCACACAAATGTAAGAGCCCCACCCCGGACCTCCAGGAACTGAAAACCACAGATGCGGTTCCACAAATGCAGCTTTGAGAAGGAGACAGAAGCCTGTCCTTTCATCCACATTTTTAAAAATTATGATTTCAGGGGAAATATTGAATCTAAGGTAGAAAAATACCATAGCTGGGCTGAGAGCCTGCCTGAGCAGTTCTGGTGGAGAGACCAGCACTCCACAAGGAGGACCACCAAGGCCAGGCGGGGCAGCTGCTGCCTGCCACCCATGAGCACGTACTGACCAGGTGAACCTAAGCCTTGAGGAGTTCAGGCCCCCAGTCTCCTTCTCTGAGATAACTGTACTTGGCCAGAGCTACCTGAGGCCAATAGCTAAATATGGAGATTATCTTCTGAGAATGTGAGTTATGTCAGACAAAGTATAATGGGTAATAAAGCTGTGTGATGAGGGGAGGATATAACTCGGTGGTGCAGCATGTGCTTAGCATGCACGAGGTCCTGGGTTCACTCCCCACTACCTCCATTAATAAATAAATAAACCTAATCACCTCCCCCCACCAAAAAACCCCCAAAACAACAACTACAAAAAACAAACCAACAAACAAAACAGAAGCATAACACCTAGAGGGCCGCTTGAAAAAAAAATGATAAAAATTTTGTAAAAACATGTAAAAACTTTTCCCTTCTTTCATGACTCCCAGAAAATTTTAAACAGCCCATGTAGCTCACACTTCTGGCTTGCATTATATTTCTATTAGACAGCACAGATAAGGTGTGTATGGAATGGAGGGTGGGCAGGAGACAAAATGTGACCCTTTTTTCCCTCTGGCTCTGAGCAGGAGCGTGGTGGGTGTCCAGACCACAAATCGTCATTTTTAATTCATGCGTCATTTGTGTTCATATAGTGAAGACAGCTGGATGATACTGGCCGATAACCATCATGCAGCAAACATCTTTCATATCCGTATTCGAAAAGCAATTTTTCAATTCTAGGAACCAGACTTTGTGATCGGAGGAGAAGGCATGGATTGGTCAAAACTAGAACATACAGTGGTATATACCCCAAATAGCCACTCCCACTCCCCCACCTTGACCGCTTCTGACATAGGTCACCGCTTCAGGACGGTGTTTCCTTCTGATCTCAGGCACAGCACCGGGGTCCTTATCCACACCAGCTGAGAAGCTGTGTAGTGAGGAAGAGACGCTGCCATGGTGCAAAGCTAGGTCGGCCTGGCTCCAAGACCAGTTTCCTCATTATGCCACGCAGATTCGCAGTTAATAACCCGTGCACACTTATAGTTTTATTTCCAGTTCAGGTCAATAAACTGTCCTTCTGATTTATAAATCAGCATCTTATAAATTGGGTTGGTACGAGTCCATCCCCGAGAGACCAAACGTCTTTTTGCTACGTTGGCAAACTTGAATATCTGATCTTACCAACAAAGAGCCTGTTTCTCGGGTGTTTTGGGGAGAGGGAGGCCTTCTCCAGGAGTTTTTCGCCACATGCCAGGCCTGATGACCTCTTTGAACACAACAGGTATGGTCCTGCCGTCCAGAGTGGGGACATTCACTGTACAGCCACACAGAGCCTCCCAAAGAGTGATCCTGGCTGGGCAAATGACGTCAGAGCCATCTCTCTTAACGACATTGTGCGGCTTCTCCTTTAAAACAAAGACAATGTCGGCTGGAATGTTGTTGGAGGTCTGGTCTCCTTCCTTGGGGAAGGTGATTTTGGTTCCACCTTTCCACCCCCGCTTCACTTCAATGCTCAAGATTTTGTCTTCTGTCCGAATGCTCTTTCCATCGGGGTTCAGCCGCTTATGAGAGATTTTCATGTTCTTGGTACAGCCGCTCTAGATCTCAAGTGAGACCCTAAGGTCGTGGGTGGCAGGGGGATCTTGCTGCTTTCGGATGGACTCTTGGGCAGGACGGGAGCAGCCAAAGTTCATGTTGGTGAAGCCACCCATGTCCATGGGGAAGCCAGAGAACGGGTCATCAATGTCTATGCCTTCCTCCCCGCTGCGCTGCCCAAAAAAAAGGTGTCGAAGGGATTCCGGCCACCGAAGAACTCAGCAAACACGGCATGAGGGTCTCCGTGGAATGTGCAGTGAAAGAGACACCGTCAGCAGCACCGCTCCTCCCGCCACTGGGGCCGCCGCCTTTCAGGCCTTCCTCCCCGTAGCCGTCCGAGGCCTCGCGCTTGCGCCGGTCGTTGAGCACGTCCTAGACCTCGGCGATCTCCTTGAACTTCTCCTTGGCACAGGGCTCCTTGTTCTTGTCCGGGAGGTGACGCAGCGCCTGGCGGCGGTAGGCCCTCTTGATCTCCCCGTCCGACGCACGTCTGGTAACAGTCCTTGCCCGTTGCCCTCCCCTCCCCCTCCCCTCCCCCTCTCCCCCACCGCCTGCAGCCCGCCGCCCAGCTGTGGCGGTCCCCTGGTCCCGGACTCCAATATATGTATTTTTTATAGTGAGAATGTTGACACTGCTGCTATTCCAAAAAGCTTATGCAGCCAGAAGGCAGATTTATCAACCTGCATGAGTGGTGCGACCAAAAGGGTGATGTCCCAGAGGAAGTGACACTGAGAAAATGTCACAGTGAAAGAACTCTCAAGGATATTTGAAAGTGCAAAGGATAAAATATTGGAGGCTGATCTAAACTTAGCAAGGACACGACAGTTTGCCAAGACATAGAAAAGACGCTCTTAAAGGCATGCTGTTCAAACTGCTCTCAACAACAATTTTATAGAGAAAATATTTCATCAATGTTTCTGTTTTCAACAACCATCTAGTAAATAAATATTAGTTTTTATTTTTAAATTATCCCTTTACATTCACAACTGAAAGTAAAAGTTTTTAGTGTTTTGGCAAGGTATTTTACGAAACAGTTGTCATTTATCTTATTGGTTAGTAAGACTGCTTTGCACCGGTCCAGTCTGCATGGTCAATTTTAGGCTCCTGAACTACCGTGCAAAGTGAGGACTGCCTGTCTGTGGGTAAAACAAGAAGAAATCCAAAATGGCAGCACTGCACTGATGCTTTGGCAATGCAAGTGTATTTTAAAGTGTGATTGGGGTTCGAAAAAAGATAAAAGATGCAATAATATTGCAGACCCATCTGCCAATGCACACCTACAACTCATATAGCTATTTCAAAAGTGTGTGAAGCATTTGAGACACAGGTGATCTGGGTATTTCTCTACCTGAAGGATGAGAGCATGAAAAGGACAGCATGGAGAGCAGGTGTGAATGCCTGGGTACCATCTCATCCCCAGAAAACATGGCGGCCAACATCAAACTATCTTCACATTTGCTCCCTTAAGGAATGAGTCTCCACCTATTACAAGGCTACTGGCTGCAAGTCTGTCAGGACTCTTGCTGGGCATTTCTCTTGGCTCTGCCTTCTGCTTGCATTTTGGCTCTCTTTCAGGCTGGCGCCAAATCACGACAGCTGTACCGGGCACGGCACCCAAACGCCACGCTGTCCAGAGACAGGGGCTGTCTGTTTCAGAATCTCCTTCTCAGGCATAAGGGGAGGCCCTCCAGCCCATTGACCAGAACTGGACCACATGGCCACTGTATCAGTCAGGGTTCAGCATGGACAACAAAAGCCATTCCATGCATTCCAGATATAAAGGACTCAGCACAGAATTGGGGCATACACGTCTCCTGGGAGAGCCGGAGGGAGCAGAGTTCAGAAACTCTATCCTCAACGATCAGAGGAGTTGACCCTGAAACACCTAAGTGTGTATGTAATTCCTCAGGTTTGTGCCAGGAAGCTGCTGACAGTCTCTCATCTGCCTACCTATCCAGCTCCAACCATCTCCAGAGGAATAACACCGCCCTCTTTGCAAATCTTGCCCCGGATTCCTCTTATGAGCAATAATCTGAAACAGGCAGAGATGGTGACTCCGGGAAGCATGGTTCCTGGACTTAGAAGGGAATGATAGTGGAACCACACTGCTGGCTGCAGACAACCCAGCACACCCATCCCTACACCAGCCCCAGCAGAGGGAACAGGACACGGTGACTGGCTTAGGCCATCAGGACCTCCTGTTAATCCTGGGAGTGGGGTCAAGTCACGCTCAAGGAGGACTGACACCCATCCCCGCTCCCAGACCAGTGCTGGACCAGGAAGGAAAAGGAGGAAAGGGGCTGGTGAGACAACCAGCCGCACCCACCACGTGCGGCTCACACCATGATTGTCATTTG